GAAGATCTTTGGTACAATTAAGTAATCATTATTCTGACTAAGTTTGTGAATACAATCTCTTTTATTAAAAATGGCTATGTGGGGTAGATTGGCCAAAATGAGATGAAATATTAGGTGACAATTAATTTTAATATCTTTAGAGAACACATTTTCAGAGAATATACTTACAAATATATTATATTTCATATAGATATATGTTTTTTCATTTTTCATATAGAAACTATGGTACAAAAACAAATGACGTATTTTATGATTAAAATAACTATTTTATTTGTATTAGTACTATAATTATTATTATTTCTCAAAATATAGAACTGGTATTAAAATAAAAATTGTGTTTTTTATGTGTGTTGTATCGTAACAAATATGCTACTGCCAATCCTAGAACGTGTGACAATCAACCCAGAACACGGGATTAATTGTCATATTTTCGCAGCTTTATTTAAAATTAAATAACTTATTTTTATGATATGATGAAGATTCACGAGTAATATTTTTTTTAATACCTAAAGGATGTAGGTATATTGTAACGTATATAATATTTTAAAATCAGGCATCCACTTTTTTCTAAAAATCAATACTCAAAAACTATGATAATCGGCCCCAGTCTTCCCTACGAAAATTGGAAAATCATGCGGATGAAAGATGAAAGTTTCGCATTTGACAAAGGGTTAAGTTTCAAATTGAAGATCATTGACTCTTGTAGATTGAAATTTTTTATTTCGCTCTTCGATAATTGTATAAATATTCGCATGTACGATACACTTTGCAGATTACCTGAAGACTTCGCGTTCTCCGTACATCACGAGTGCGCCTGGGGTTGCCGCGGGGCGTTTCTGCCCGCTCGTTACAACAGCTCGCGTGCAAAATGCATCAAATGCGCGTACTGCGGCCTGTTCTTCTCGCCTAATAAGTTTATCTTTCACTCGCACCGTATGGGCCCGACGGACAAGTACGTGCAGCCGGACGCGGCGAATTTCAACTCGTGGCGTCGGCACATGAAGCTGTCCGGTACTCAGCCGGATGAAATCGTGCATGCCTGGGAGGACGTTAAGGCGATGTTTAATGGCGGCACTAGGAAACGCTTATTAGGCAATTCGAATGGCTCCCGAGAATCGCCGAGTCCAGCGAAGCAGCCCAGATCGTCGCCGACAGGTGCAGCGCAGATTTCCACCCTGGTGCCGACACCGGCGCATCCCCGTGTACCGCCATTCCCGGAACTACCCCTGCCGCTGTCCCGCAGTCTCGTCATGGACTACGTATGGCATCATCAGCAGGCGGCGGCGGTCGCCGCGGCCAAGACACCCAGTCCATTCGCATTTCCGTCCTACGCCCTGCCTTGGTTGGCCAAGCGGAGTCCCGTTCTGTTCCCCGGTAAGATAAAATTTATAGATGAAAAACAATTTATAAATTATTGAAGAGTAACGTAGAAACTTAAATCTGCTTTCAAAAAATTTGTCAAATTTAGAGTTAGAAATATCTAAGGCCGGTATTCATAGTCGGTTCTTATTTTAAGATCGTCTTAAGTAATGTCTTAAGATACTAATACGGCCCTCTGATTGGCTTATGACATCTTAAGACTGTGCTTAAGACAGCCTCAAATATAAGAATCGACTATAAATACCGACCTAAGTAATCTTTATCAGTACAAAACCCATATTTTTTTCTAGCTTAGACTATTGTCCCATTAATTAATTTAAGCATTTATAATACTGTTACATTCTTTACAATGTTACTCAAATATTTATTCATTAAAACGATCAAGTATTTATTTATTAAATTTACAGAAAAATTATCATCAGACGTAAAATTATTAAATACGTTTTCCATGCTTTACGTTTAGATAAAGCTGCTAACGTAAAACTGAAAACTATTATCATAAAAAACTATAATCATAAAATATCTATTGTTTATTTACGATCATTATTTCTGTATAATAAAACCCGAGTGAGGATCGATTCGACCTCAATTAGACAGCAATCGCATGTTGACGGTTTCCAGGACCGCTGCCGCCACCCATAAGTGGTTCCAGCCCCACGGAACCGTTGATTCCGACTGTCAATCCACCTTTGCATCAATCCGCGTTCCGTCCGGTGATTCGTGGGCCACCCATCGTCGAATCAGCGATCCCAGAGCGACCAACAGACGCTAGTCAAAAGGAGGACAACTCCGACGACGAGGTCGACATCGAGACAACGGAGGATGACCCGGTGACGCCACTCAACGCGAGTCTTCAGAATCTTCACTCGGCCTCGAATTCCGCTATGAGCAGCCACAGCGGACGAAGTACGTCGCCGCAGTGCTGGAGTCCTCCTCGAGAAACGGTGAGTTTCAGCTTAGAAAGCTTATCGGAAGATTTATTGAGAAGTTCGAGATCGTCGACAGATTTATGGAAAGACAAAGACTCTTTCCAAACAGAACAACAGGTCACGAGCATTCTATACTTAATAAAATCCTAACCACTTCTAAACGTCCGCTATGTTGTCAGTTGTGCGCGAACAGCGTGAGCACCTATAAGAGCAAAGTTGCTTAGTTTCCTTGGACTGTAGATCTAGATTTAAATAGAGGAAATTGATTGATGTTAGCTGTGCAGAACGGTCACGCACAATAGTCTTATTTTTGGCTGAGTGAACCTACTGTTTTTACCTATACTGTGCTTATCTGTACTCATTTTAACTTACTGAAGTTGACAAAAACAATGGACTAATCAAAAGTTTATCATCTTGTGGCCAGACTTTATAAGGTCTACAATCACGATAATATTCAAATGATGTTAAAAGAAATCATGACTAATCGAAAAATGATTTTTAACCTTTAATACACACGATAAATCATTCGTGTTTTGCGCATTTCTTTTCTTTGAAATACTAGAAACGTCAAATAATTCACTGAAAAAATGTGTATCAAATTTAAATAAATATTGGTTTGAATAATACTAACGAAATATTTACTAAATATAAACATATATTTAATTGACAAGAACTAATTAATTTGATTTAACTGACATTACAGTAAATATTTATTTACAGCTGTAAATAAATGTTTATTTAGTACTATTTAAATAAATATTTATTAAAACCGACTAAATTTTTTTCAGTGCAGCTATAACATTTATATACATTTTTTTCTAATACACAATCTTACAGATACTTCCTAAATATATTAAAGTATACGTAAGAATTAATCATTTTTATATGCTTTTATAAAAGTGATGAAAATTAATCTACGAACATGAACGATCCATCGTATGTAGTAGTAAAGGATCAAAAAATCATCGAGCATATTAAGGGTTAATAATCATTTTGAAGCCTCTTTAACGTTACTTTGATACCATCATCATGAATGTTTTAGTTTTACTTAGGATTATATAGTAAAAATATAACAAAAGATTAATCAAAAAACCGAGTAAAAATTGGGGAGGGTTCCTAAATTCCAAGTATTCTACTTGTACAACGATCACGAAGAAGAGCGCGATGCACTTCTGGTCACGATTGCCTCTCGAGGAAGCCGGTGCACCATCATCGTCGCGTGCATCGGTCGCGTGCACGGCGCGACACGCTAGCGTTATAACGGCGTGATTGTGTTTGTCGGGCGCGATTACGTCCTCGAATGACAACGGGGAGGATTCGCTACGGACATGTTTCCAGTGGTGGCGGTATCGCCGCTTATCGTCGAGTGTTTGCGATCGGCAGACTGATAATGGTCGCGCCACTGCTAGTGATCGCACGTGCGTTTCGACCGACCAACACGTGGCCGTTTACCGTAACGCTATTATTTTTCAAACAACCATCTTTGAGTCCGCACCGCACAATAATCCACTTTAAATTGATTAACAATATTAGATGAAATAAACTGAGGAATGTTATTTAAATATAAATAAGAGAGAAGAATGCTATATTTTATATATAGGGGTCAAAGCGGGTCTTAGTACTTACATACAAATACAATTGTCGGTTCTATGAACTGCGCACCGATTCAAATTGATTATATGCATTTTCAGGAAAATACGTATTAATCAGATTTTACACTACGCTACAATATATACATTATAAAGTTATAACCATATTTTTATCAAGAAAATACAAGATTATACAAGTTCAATATATTTGTCCTGATAAGTATTTTTTAACGACTTTTTCATTGGTGATGAATTTTTCAATTATATGCCGCACGTTGTGAAAAATTATTTATAACAAACGTTTTTCATAATTTTATATAATTTTAAATTACATCGTCCTATTTCTCGAATCTTAATCTTCAAAGAAAGTCATGTGATTATGTAAATTTTAAGCAAAGGTACATTAATTTAAACTGGATAAACACACGAATGTAACAGATAAAGAAATTTTACGACGAAATTTTAGGATGAATACTAATTATATTATCTATCTTAATTGATCACTATTATTCGAAAAAAAAATGCATACTAATCGAAAGTGCTTTTGGAAATAAAAATCAAAACGTTTTTATTTAAAAAGATATAAAAACATTTAATGCATATTGATCGGAAAATATCTAGAAATCATAAAATTGAGAAATCTTACAGAGAAAAGAAAAACAAGAAGTCTTATAGGAAATCTTATAGAAACAAGATCTAAATTAATTTAGATCTAGGAAATATTAAATTTGACGCGTTTGAAAATATGTAATATACTTAAAGGAAAAAATTGTCTATTCATTTGTGCAAATAACTTACATAAATAATAATATGTAAATTTTGTTCTATCTTCTTGAGGGGATTCACATTATCGTTAGCAGTAGCTGCGTAGCATAATCGTCGATTCCTATCCCGAAAAGCAATTTATTACGACATAACTCTTACTCACTCGCTGGTGAATAAAGGCACACGTCTACGCGGTTTAATAACGGAATATGTTTGCATTGTAAGGAAAGTAGCTCCGCACCCCCGCTTGATGCGTGACTATGCGACGTCTCCCCTGTAAATGGCCAGCGAAATATTTTCCCGCAATACGACACCCAACAGCAAACAAATTGCCGCCGCAAAGTTAATCGAATTAACGTCGTATCCGACGCTCGCTTTAATCGAGTCCTCCCCTCGAGAAATCGCTTGTCGTACACACGAAATGAAGTATTTAGGCCACAGCCGGTTTGGAACCAGCTGATTCCTTGCAGTTTCCTTTCAGTTTCGTTTTAAAAATTTTGGAATTGGTTTCTTCTTAGATGGAATTTAAACAATAAAATACGAGTTAATAATAAGTAATGCTTTACTTCTCTCGTGCAAAGATAGTTTGATAACTGTCTTTAAAAAATAATCTTTATAGATAATTATGTAAAACACACTTCAAACACACTGGTTGCTAGAATGTTAAACCTTTTTGCAGAATTATTATCAACGTTCAGACACTTTACATAATTATTTTGATAATCCAACAAAATTACTTTCAGTATCTATAGCTAAATTTTTATAGATACTTTAGCAAAACCTCCCAAGAAACACACAGATCGAAAGAAAATAAAAATAACTTTATGTTGACGTCAAAACGATAATTTTTTATTACAAAATTTGACCGTTTATTAACGTAAAATAAAATCACTTTGATTTTTTGTAGACTTTTCTGTGTTCTTTAGACATTCCGTATAGTAAAGGACCGAAAAATCACCGTGTGTGTGTGCAAGGGTTAAATATAAAGTGCAACGATCCAATAATTAACTAACAGAACTTTATTCTCCGCATGAATTTGAAGCAAGCTTTTACATGTGAGATTTTATTATCACGTAACATATTAAATAGTCGTGATAGAGCGGTATCTTCTAATTAAATTTTTCCAAGGGAAAATATCGGTATCATGCTTATCGAGGAGTTTAATATCAAAGCAAACTTTGCAGTACACCCGTACGCCTGATCTGTCACATCAGACAACCGTCTGGTCTAAATAAGCTGCCTTCGTGACGACCGCAGATTCACTTCCTTAATCCTTCTTTGATGTCGCGGCATCATCATTACCGCGTTGGCAATGTTCATTGAAAACCCATGACGTCTATGTGTACGCGCATATACCGGAAGCGTTCATTAATCGTGTCGCACGTCGGTTTCGTTAAGTGCATTCGAACCTGCGCGCCGTTCCACACGTTTACGTTTGTACGCCGAAGGGGTGGGAAGG